GTACCAAAAGATTTAGAAACATGACCCCTATCATTAAAGCTCAAAGCCCTTGGGTTATGAACCCATTTGGGCGCATTTAGTGCACTAACACGGTCAAAGCAATAATCACTCAAATGACCCTTCCGATTGTAATTTGTGCAATAAAGAGATCCATTTGTTTTTGTGGACCATTAGCTCATGCACGGGAATCATTTGCAAATAAAGATTTTCTTTTAAAATTATTTTGCAAATGAGAAACATTCTTAAACAATGGTCTATTTGGAACATATTGCAACTTAGAAGCTTTTTGTATATCAAAACAAAATTTAGCAAGATGTCCAAACCTACCACAAACATCACATTTAAAAGCATGTGATCTACTAGAAGCATTTGGTAAATGAGATTTCTTTTTCAAATCAAAACAATATTCGACCAAATGACCAAAACGATCATAATGATCACATCTATACACATGAGCATGCTTATGATGAATAATGGGTGCATGCGTGTGTACATGTGATGAAGAAGCTACATGAGATGCACAAGGAGCATTGACATTTTTATGTTTGTGCGCATCATAGCAAAATTTAGCTAGATGGCCTTTACGGCCGTAAATTGAACACTTATAAACTTTGCTATATATGTGTGCATGATGAGTAGATGATGACTTAGACTTGGCACACATATCCATAAGCCTCTTATGATTATCAAAACATATTTTCAAAGTTGAATCTAAAGATGAAATGCATTTTTTCATAAGATTCAAGTCTTCATTTTTAGGCACATATGCACTTTTAGAAGTAGAACATAAATAGTCATTTATAAAGGAAGCAGTATCATTTTGTATGTTCTCTACTTCTAACATGGCATTATCTTTCTCATGAGTTAACTTACCAAAGTTTGAAATTAAAGAATCATGATCCAATTTTAATTTTTCATTGTTTTCTTTAAGGATCATATTTTCATTAGAAATAGTATCAAACTTAGAAGTTAAAGACTCATGATCGGATTTCAAAATTACATACTTGCTTTGTAAATCAATGAAATCATTTTGCAATTTCTTGTAGGTATGCAATAATTTATCACTAACACAAGCAAGTTCATCACTTGATAAATCATTATCAGGTTCGAACTCGCAAACCTCACTAGGGCTATCGCCTAGTGCACGTGTGCATGAAGCTCCACATGAACTTGAAGCCGGATCCTCCAAAGCTTGTCGGATTGCCTCCAAGTCCCCTTGATGCGCTTCTATGAATTTCCACAATGTATACGCGCTATCAAAAGAATCAAGCTTGTTAGACATAAAAGAATCAAATGTATTTAATAAAAATTCTAACATAAGCTTGTTCATAATAAACATCTTTTTATCATGTTTGCTCCACTTGGATTTCTCCAACGTGGGCACAATATAAGCACAATCAATGATTTCCCATAAATCGATATTTTTAGATTGAACAAATATTTTGAATCTAAAACACCATTGAGCATAAGGGAAAACATTGAATTTAGGAGCAATACTAGAATCATAGCCTAAACAAGATGTGCATCATTCATATCCATAATAAGAAAATGTATGCAAGCAAGATACAAATAAAATCAAAACAAGATTAGCACAAAAAGATAACTTAGATCTTTAACTCAAGGCGATTAGAAGATACAAATAAAATCAAAACAAGATTAGCACAAAAAGATAACTTAGATCTTTAACTCAAGGCGATTAGTCCTTAAATTAAAGAGCACCAAGCGTTGATACCAATTGTTAGACTCTAGAGAGAGGGGGGGTGATTAGGGTCTTATGCTAATCTAATCCGATTTTATGCCAATTAAAATTAATTAACAAGTTATCCTAGCAAGTATGAAATACAACAAAAATATAAGCTAGGATAAGCAATATAAACAATGAGATATATCCTATATGATGAAATATATATGCAAGGATATATATAAACTAACACAAGGGGAAACAATAATCTAAACAAGATAGTGGATGAAATAAATGAGCAATGCACAAATGGCGATATAAGATAAATGCAAAAGCAAATACGCCAAAGACAAACTCAAACAAGCAATATGATCACGGAGTTCGGACCTTCCGTCCTACATCTCCGCTCCCCTCTCCCGGGGAGAAATCCACTATCACAACCGGGTTTTCTACGCTCACCCGAATAACGTTTACACCCCACAATGTCGGTTTTCAACGCTCACCGATCAACGTTCACTCCTCACACTCGGTTTTATAGTTCACCGAAAACTCCACAACACACTCGGTTTTCTAGCTCACCGAAAACCTTACACCACTTATAATGTAACAAATATAAATTTGTTCTCTACAATAGATGAGAACACAATTAAGCACAACTCAATGTTACAATCTCTCACAACCCTAATATACTATATATACAAATACAATAAGCTCAAGTGGGTGTGTGTAACAATGAGATAATATAATCAAATCTAAACTCAATATAAAAACTAGCTTTAAAGAATGATAATCAAATAACTAAGCAAATATAAAGCTAGATAGAGTTTAGAAAACTTCTGCAATAGAGGACAAGATAGAGAGATGGAGATTGGAGCCCAAACAAGAAGATGATCTCCTCCACTTGTGAAAACAATCTTCAAACCAAACAAACACTAAAAACACACTTAAACCCTTGTTTAAAAACTTGTTTAAAACATTCTTGGATGCTTGTTGAGAACTGAGATCAAAGGGGTATTTATAGCCTCCTAAAAACCTCAGCCAAAACCCCAAGCAAAAGACAAAAAACCCCCACAGAATCGGAAATGAGATTCTGTACAATATAGCCGTTGGGCTGAACGACGGTCGACCACGAGCAACAAAAACAAAAGAAAAGACTCCAGAGAGTTCGACGGTCGACCGCGAGAAATTTTCAGCCGACGGTGAACCAAGGCGGTCGACCGCGAAAGTTTCTGCTGCCTACTATGCAAAAGACTCAGGCGCGGTCGACCGTGGCGGTCAACCGTGAACTAATACATAAAATACAGGTTTTGAAAAACTGTTTGCTGATTTTGAAACACTGTTTAAAAATATCAAATAAATTCTAAAAAATATAAAACTTTGGGGAATGATTGTAGACATGATAATAAACATGTTACAATAACTGGTTTCCAAAAAGGACTTTCCAAATGAAAAATATCATCATTTTACAAAATAGGGCAAAACACGAAAATGTAAACATATGAATTTTGATATTTTGGCTAAACCATGTTTTGAAACATTACAAAATAATTTTATAGACTTGAAGAAAGATGTAAACTATTGTTATGAAGTCTATAAATAATGAATGTAGTATTTTATCAAAATACCCATATAATGCACTAAAACATGATTTCATTGAACTAAATAAAATTGATATTGATGAAATCATATATATGCATATAAGTATGAAATAAAAATATGTTTTCTAATTATATTAAATTGTTTCATATTAAAACTTAAAAACTATCAAACCAAAACATATATGTATATATATAACTATATATATACAAAACCAAAACGTGTATGTGTGTATATGATTGAGCTTAAAGTACTAACACACATAATATAAACTCCTAAACTAAATTACCCAAGCTTGATGAAGGTCTTCAATGAGCTCAACTTGGTACACTTGCGGATGAAGCTTGAACTTGGATCTTCAACTTGAATTGTACATAGCTTCACCTACTATTCCACCAACCTCCATTGGATATGATCGTTGAAGCTCTATTCCATCCATCCTCCAACTACGTTGTTTGTCTATAATAAATAAGAAAACACAAATACTAGACAAACAACATTAGTGGTAAATTATTTGTTAAACATCATCAAAACAAGAAGGTCAACACCCACCTCACTCCCCCGCTGCACCTCCCCCGCGCCCTCTCCCTCGCGCCTCCCTCCCCTCCTCAGCCTTCCCACCACCGCTGCACCTCCCCTTACACCTCCCTCCTCCTCCTCCTCCGGTCCCCCCTCTACCCCCTCTCCTGTTCCGTCGCCTGCGTCGTCCCGAGGAACTTCGCGTGGGCACATTAGTAAGAGTTAACATGTTAACTGTTAGAGTTAACATGTTAGCTGTAAGAGTTAACATATTAGCTGTAAAAATTAACATGTTATCTGTAAGAGTTAACATGTTATCTGTAAGAGTTAACATGTTAACTGTAAGAGTTAACATCCGCTGGCATGAGAAAAAGGAGGGTAAATTTGGGATTTAAGCCAGCTAACATGTCTAATCATTAGCTGGCATGTCTAATCAACTGCTGGCATGAGTTGGAATCATGATGGAGGGGCCTTGGGCACATTTTTTTTTTTTCAAAAAAGGGGCTAAAACACATTTAAAAAAAACAGGAGGGGTTGTGACACATTGAAAGTTTAAATTTGGGGCCTAGAAGTAATTTTCCCAAAAAAGATTTGAAAAATTTTCATCGGAGCCCTATTTGAAATTTGTAAATGACTAAAATTTTCTTGAGAGTAAAAAACTCAAAATTTTGGGAAGAATTTGTGCTACCTGTAAATGACGAGTGACAAAAGTTTTAAATTTTTTTTCTCACTCAAAGACATTTTAGTTGTTTACAAAATTACAGGCGGGTAGATTAGTTGAGATAATGTAAAGATAGAGAATGTTTGGTGAGACACCCAATAATTTATGGTGTTATGTGAGATAAATATAGTTTAAAGGGTTACGTGCAACACCCCGGGGTTAGGGGAAACTAACCGACCCGGGTGCGGCTCAAATTACCCTCCCCTAGGAATCGTAGATCCTGGGGTTCAGATACTTAATTAATGAACCACCAAACTTAATCCCTCTAACCAAACCCTCTTTCTTAATCGGCGATGAACTGAAAACTAACCTCTTGTTAAACAAATGGATTTTTTTTAATTAATTAATTAAATTAAATATCAGAAGGGTTGCTGCCTGTGCTACTTACAGGCCGACAAAATTGCGCACGGGGAGAGAGAGAGAGAGAGAGAGAGATGCATCCCAACTCAGTAGCCTTGCAATCGTCGAAGCGCCCAGTAATTCCCGTACCCCGTAACCGCCCCTCTCTTCCTCGATTCCCGTCTCCTCCTCCGTTACGGAGCTAAATCTCCTCTCTCTCCTGCCCTCTCTTCTCCAAGTGCTGACCGTCGAACTCTTCGTTGTTCCTTTCTTCTCTATTTCTGGCCCCCCACCTTAATTTTTCTCTCTGATGACTGTGTTTTTTTTGGATTGCTCATTGTACAGGCCGGGGCAGCTGCGGATCTTTTGTGGGAAAATGGGTTCGCGCCAAGGCAGCCGATTCTTTGGATCCCCATCGGGCTGAGGATTCCACAGCCCCTGAGACCCAGGTCGTTTGTTTTTTTTCTTTTCTTGGGGGGTTTTGGGGGTTTTAAATCATGGTTCGTATGATGAAAGGTCAAATGTATCCTCTCTTGATCCATGATTCCGTTTGTGCAGTTGAGCATGTCAGGACCGTATATCTTGATGTACAAAAAAAAAATTTAAAAATAAGAATAAAAATCCCCCTTGCAGAAATGATTGCTAGGGGCTACGGCTTTAACTTGTGTGTCACCATTGCCGGGGACAGAGGAGCTAGGAAAACTGTATTATGGAGGTCAACATGGACGTTTGTAGTATTGCAAGGCGATTGAACTGATAACCGGTTGTGAATTGTGCATATATACATATATCTCATCATTATTTGACTTAGTGTACTTCTGGACATACTGCTAATTAATTATAATTTATGCGTCGATATATTTTATAAATACTACAAATTTCGTGAGGTGATGGTGTTTGTTTTCAACATTTTCCAACCCTAAATTAGAAAATCAAACTTATGACATTTGCACTTATGATCAGACATATATCTACTGTTAAGCTTTTTTTTTTAAAGGTTAAAATTAATGCAGGCTTTCATCGAAATGTTATTGTTGTTGATATCATAATCTTAGAATCCGGTTTATAGGCAATAGATCTTTAAATTTTTACCCAGTCTGCTAAACCTTGACCTTTCTGATCAAGTCCTGCTTGATAGGTATAGAGTTGTGTTATTTGTGTGTCCACATAAATATAATAGATATATTGGTAGGGTTCATATTGGAAAGATAGGTTTGGTATTGGCTCCCAAAGAGCGAGTGCTTGCAAGGCGATCAAATATTCATCCCATCATATCTCTTAAATGTGATATTCATAGTCATACGTCTTTGTAGGATCCATAGTATTCTTGTGCTTTTCATGTGCCATAGACTCATATTATCATTCCGTTTACTTGTGACAACAAATATGAAGAGCATAACTAATAGAACCCTTTATGAATTACAGTAGAAATGACTTAGAATGAATGTATTGATTCTCTCCTTCCACGGGTTGCTGCTCAAGTAAATTGCAGCCCTATTCTCAGTGTGTGCACAATTAACAATCTGTTCAATCAGAGTAAGATATTGATGGACATTATTATTATTATTTTTTTGTTGTTTTCTTTCAGGAGGTCAACCGAAGGACAGTTGATATCTTGAACATTCTAAGAGGAGCAAATTCTGTTATACCTCATGTAGTTCTTGCAAGCACAGTGTTGGCTCTTGTTTACCCACCTTCCTTCACATGGTTCACAAACAGGTCACCAATTGTTTATGTGAAAGGAAAAACAATTACCCCAATATGCATACCTCTTTCGCTCTTTCGTTCTTTTTTTTTTTGGGTGGGGTGGGGGCTTTCTTTTTGTTTTTCCCCCTCTTCTTCTTTCTCCTGGAGGGGTTCACTTGACATGCTTTGGAGAAGGATGCTTTAAGGTCAACAGTAACAATATTTCAAACATTTGGAATTAGAATATATATTACCCAGACAACTATTTTCATCTTTGATATGTATAATTGTTCCCTTGAAGTTCGGAAAATGTTGAACTGCTGAGTAGGATAGGTAAATCGGAGATGAACTGAAAACAACAACTAGAAACAGGCTACTTTTTTGTGTTTGATGCTATAAAAGAAACAAGAAAGAAGAAACCTGGTTGCATCGTCGGGGAAGGTAGGGAGTATCAAGCTGAACCTAAATGAACTTTTCCTTCTTTTGTAGAAATATCATAAACAAGAAACTACTTCATTGGTATCTACAATCGAATAATTGTCCTATTATTATAACCACCAATCAATTCAGTATCTTGTGTTCAAACCTAAAGATCTTAGGATGAGCTTGTGCAATATGGAATCTCTTTGAATACTTTTCCTATCACTAGACATCCATGAATTACTTGCTTTTACAAATTGCAATATAGAGCTTTTGACATTTAAGGTTTAAGAGGGTATATTGAGAAGCATCCTTTTTGGAATAGTAAAAAGAACTATAGATTGGCAAGGTATAAGTGTCACTATATTGAGCACCTTGGTGCTGGATATCACACTATATGGAACTTTTATTAGTGCTTAGAAGAAAGTAGAAATCATGCTTAAAACTTTTCTCTAGCTACTGTTGCATGATCCTGAACTGTATGTGCAACTTATGTTGCCTTCCATTCTTAATGTTGCCATATGCTGAAAAATTTTAGGATGGATATTTGAAGCAACTGGTAGTAACATAATAATTAACATGAACTGTGCTATTATTCAGGAGATAATATTTGCTTTTGTTCCATAACATTTCATTTGTATACTAATGTGATTCATGATATCCAGATACTATGCTCCTGCTCTGGGTTTCTTAATGTTTTCTGTTGGTGTCAACTCAAGTCCCAAGGATTTTATACAAGCAATCAACAGACCAGGAGTAATTGCTGCTGGCTATGTTGGTCAATTTGTTATTAAGCCAATTTTTGGGTACCTTTTTGGTGCCATTTCAGTTTCAGTTTTTGGTCTCCCTACAGCTTTAGGTGAGGGAATAATTTTATTCAATTTTCTCATGGAATCTTTAGACAAAAGTTTAGGTGCTGTTTGACTCTGTGTTTTGGGATTCTGATTGTCATAATTCCAAGGATTCCACAATCAAATTTTGAACTTTTGTTAGGTATGTAGGAAAGTGGAATGGGAGGTTGAGATTTCTCAGTTTTCTAAAAATATTTTGTGTGTTTCCAAAGAAAATGATAAAGTTGGAAAGGGACTTATGAGTTCTGCTAATGATTAATTTTTTATTTAAAAATAGGACATGTTCACTACATATTTGGTAATCATACTATTCTAAAATAGAAGTTTTTTATTTTTTGAAATTCTTGAATGTTTTTAATTTCTTTAGGGTTTTTAAAAAAGTTTAAAATATCTTTCGGAATGTATTTTTAAGATTGGTTTACAATTTTTTTTGACTTTGAATTTCTACGTAGTGGGGCCCGCATTTCACTTTCTCTCATAACTTCCCCCTGATTTGGTTTGGATTTCTGTCAGTAGAATTTGCTAAGGAAACAAACACAATTAGCATTTGGAAAACACTTCTGACAATTTTTGAGGTGGAGCTCGGTTTTCTGATTACTTTCTCGTGGATTTCTTTGAGATGCGCAGAAGCAAACATGCCCTTACTGACTCAGACTAATTTTTGGCACTAGGTGCTGGGATAATGCTACTTTCGTGTGTCAGCGGGGCACAGCTTTCAAACTATGCAACTTTTCTTACAGATCCATTGATGGCCCCTCTAAGCATTGTCATGACTTCTTTGTCCACTGCAACAGCTGCATTTGTCACTCCCATATTATCTCTGCTTCTTATTGGCAAGAAGTTGCCTGTGGATGTGAAAGGAATGATGTCTAGTATTATTCAAATTGTTGTTGCACCTATTGCAGCTGGATTGCTTTTGAACAGGTAACTATTACCTGAAAGTATTATGGATGTCAAATACTAGTCCTTGTCCTATTTTTTTCGTTTATGTTTCTTCTCTTATTTTGCTGATGAACGTGAGAAAATAAATCCCAGGCTAGTGCCTTTTCATGGACAAATTCCCTTTTCTTGCACTCCTCAATATTAACTCGTGACCCCTATGTTATCCCCTTTCCACGTTATATATTGTCGAATTTCAATTTAATGCAATCTATGATTCCGATGTCATGTGATTGATCTTGTGCTCAGTTGTTTATTTTAGCAGTCCTCACAACCGTTGCAGATAACAGCAACATTAAAGCCTTATCCCTGAAGTTAGGGTTGGTTACATGAATCATATTTTTCCATTTAGTTCTATTGAGGTCATCTCCTCCATTAAGTTAACGATTAAAACACCATTCTTGGTTGGTTCCAACCGAGTTCTCTTAGTTCTACCTCTAGGCCTCTTTGCTCCCATAAACTATAATTTTAGAACTTCCCTAACTGATGCATTTAGTAGTTTCCGTGTAGATGACCAATCCATCTCAATCTATTCTTATTTTGTCCTTGATAGGAGCAACCTCTAACATTCTAAGAATGATGATGCTGTCCCGAAAGGAAAAGGAAAATGAATGGAAAAAAGAACAAAACAAGTCAAGTTAGGAATTGGTCGTGTTTTATGTTATATATGATATACGTTCGTAGATTGATAATGTCCACATAGGACTGACATTTATCTTTTTGCAACACAAGACTTCTACCAAAGGTTTGTGCAGCTATTCAGCCATTTCTGCCGCCACTCTCAGTGTTTGTGACAGCTTTGTGTGTTGGTGCACCACTGGCAATAAATATTGATGCGATAGTTTCCCCCTATGGGATACTCCTAGTGCTGCTGATTTTTGGATTTCATGCATCGTCATTTCTAGCTGGATATGGTCTTACTGGTGTTGCATTTAATAAGGCCGATGATGTCAAAGCACTACAAAGAACAATTTCTTTTGAAACGGGTTTTTACTACTCTTTTATATTATATCATTTATATTTTTGTAAATAGTGCTTGGATTTCTAACTAGTTCTCGTTATTTCAGGAATGCAAAGCAGTCTTCTAGCTCTTGCACTTGCAAATAGATTTTTCCAAGACCCACTTGTTGGTGTGCCTCCAGCAATCTCTGTAAGTCTTAGGCTTTGATTCCAATCACTCAGGTTCTTGTTCTAAGTAAGCTTGATGATCTAAATGAGAACATTTACACACAAGTAAAATATAAATGGCTGGTCCAAATCTAAGACAATCTACTTGAAAAGAAGATCCGTTTTTTAGAGCCTCCAAAGTTTTGCCATTAAAAGTACTCTGAATATTCCTCAAAAAAGTAAGTTGTCAGTATTGTCAGAAATACTGTTATTTCATGATATCTGATCTATGACTTCCTTCAATGCAGAAACAAAAAAGTATTACTAAACAGAAATATTCATTTGTTGGAACTCCGTAATCCAATTTATTTATTTGATGGCTTGCCAGATCTTCACTAGCTCATTTAAGTAGAAGCTCAACTGAAACCTCAAATTTTGTCTCACTGGAAATATATTTTAGAAAATTACCTTATCCGTAAGTGTCTTATTATTTACTTTAATGCCATTATCAATTGCATCACTTTGTACTTGACCTTAATAGTGTTGAAAGTAGATAAGTTACTTGGTAGGACAATACCATTATTTTTCTTTTGACCCTTTAATTTGTCTGGCTCTAACTTTATTCCAGTTCAGTATTTTTTTTAGGTGGGAATGTGATTCTATCCTATGCTCTTTGGCTTACCCTATGTCTCCTAGATGAATTTGATTCTCTATATTGTCAGGCTTTTGCCTGGCATCAAATTGAAATTCCTCATTATTTTAAAAGCTTTCTCAACCTTTGGTATTGGGTCATGGAGGTCCCAAATTCAAGCCCAACATGGGGCCTTCGGTCATGGAGGTCCCAAATTCAAGCCCAACATGGGGCCTTCAGTTATGAGAAAGGAAAGAGGGAAAAGAGTGAGTGTCATTTGAGAATGATATCACATTGGTAATATAAAGAGCATGTTTGTGATTTGAAGTGAAGACAACATTTTCCTCAGGTTTGTGAAAATCATAATCATAATCTATCTAGTATGTATACTAAACATTACTAAAACAGCTTCACTAGTTGCTGTAATAACAAGTGGCAGCTGGTTTGAGTCTTATTGTTATTGTTATTGTTAATATGGAAATAGTAGCTATCTTATCTATTATTAAAACATGTGATTTCACCTTACATAGGTCACGAATGTCACGCATCATCTTTACATCAATTCTATCAAAATTCGTCATTTGTCGCCATTAATATGTCAGCTCTTTCTCCCTCCCAACCAAACCCACAGGCACCATCTTTCTCTTGAATCCTCGTGCACTACAAGTGTAAGAAACTATTATTTTCTTCTATGAATACTTATCAAATAAAATATAAGTATAGAATTGTCATTTTTAACTAAATTAACAATATCTCTATCTTTCTTGTTAAGATCATGCTCTAAGTCGTAACTTTAAAAGGAGTATGATTTTAGTGTTAGTGAAAGTCAAAAACTTTAAAAGAAATATCAACTATCGAAATTGAAACCTTCAATCTTAAGAGAAGTTCGAAGCATCAGAAGTTCACAACTCCTGAAGAAGCACAAAGGCTGAGATGAATTTATATGAATTGGTACAGAACCCTAATATGTGGAAGGAAGATATTCGGAAATTGGAGAACATTTATCTGATTTAGAGGAAAAAACGGAAAAATAAGTTTAAGGTTATCTATGTGGTGTAGATCGGTACAATCCAAAGTTTAAAGGTGATATTACTAGTTTACAACTTATGAGGAGAAAACCAGGACTTGGTTAGGGCCAACCTATTGATAATTGGTATGAATTTTCACCTGTGACCTCTAAGTTTCAAGTTACTTAATTTTGGCTATTTAATTGTGGGTGTTTGAAGGCTGCGCAAGTGAAAGCTATTGTAGATATTTAATCACATCGCAGCCTAATATTGCTGACCGTTTAACTATTATGCTGTGATCTTATTATGCAAAATTAGAGTGTTGCGATCTATTGATTTATATTGGCATCATTTACCACAATTTCACAACATTTTCAATGAGTGTTGGCTATATTTCGTTAACGTGCACGTTAACGAGCTATCAACTAATGTTCATATTTCTTATGAAAGTGAATGGGAGGGCGCCATTTATTATTATTCATGTGTTATTATAAGATCTCGAGAATTATTCTTGTTATTTAAATTGCTTTATCGTACTCCTTATGTTTGGTTAGAGAAGGATCAGAAATACTACTCAATTTCAAATATAACTGCATCTTAATGATATCTTGTAGATAATGGTAATCATCATGGTGGTGATAGGAATTACAAGATTATGAGTGTACTATCAATAGTGGTAGTAATGTATTATGATTGTTTTGTCATTGAAATGAATGCCTGTAAGAAAGGTAATATCCTCTTTGATGATACTCTGTAAGTTCTTAATTCTGTTCGCCAGCAGTTTTTGTGTTTAATGGGTTGAAAATTGTTACAGGTTGTGCTCATGTCCCTGATGGGGTTCTCTCTTGTTATGCTTTGGTCAAAGAAGCGGCAGTAGCAGAGTGCAGGTTAAAGATCCGAGCGCTTGTAAATTATAGCTTTAAAAGATCTTCCCCTGTCATTGGCAGTTGTCACAGAGAGCTCAATGAAAATTCTCCGGAGACTGATTAATTGTCAAACAATTTATTCGAATTGCGTCCAAAAAGGGGGGGGGGAATCATGTATTGTCCATTAGACTCTTGAAATCATCATGTGAGAAGAAATTGAGTGTGTGAGCTTGCCTATTCTGAGCTTCATTTCAGTAATATAATTTTGACCGTAGTTTGATTTTCTTTCGCTCTTTCACCCCATTTTAACCATTTTTAGAATTATCATGCTTGGTTGATAAACAATAGCTAAAACTTTTTTTGTTAAACATAGGCCACAAATAGCTAGTTTTGCACCTGAGACCTTTCAACAGCTCAGATGAGCAAGGAACAGAGTAAAAGAGAACCATTTAGTACGTTCCAGCATGAATTGAAACAGAAGCCAATTAATAAATACTAGTTTACTATCACAAAGTTCAAAATAAGTTTTTGCGAGAATTTGAAGCTTCAACGACAAACATAGATACTGTTTATCTCAGAGACCTTTTTGCAATTTACCCACCTTTATCATGCTCAACATAAATGCTAATCCCGAGTCAACTATACTCAACCATAGTTTATGAGCTAGTAACGGCTCAGCAGGCTAAATTCATCATCCTCAAGAACCCGCACATCCTTTTCTCCCACAAAATGCTCTCTCCCAATATCCTTCACAATTCTCACAAACTCCTCTCTACTTTCAAGAGGCAGAGGAAAATAAGGCAACCTGAAAATGGGTCTCACAACTCCTAACTGAGCTAAAGCAGTGTTGAGTCCAATTGGATTTGGCTCGCGAAACAACCATTCAAACAGCGGCATCAGCTTTGAATTAAGCGAAGGATTCAACCCTCCAAACATTAGAGAATGCATCAAGCCTGGCACGAGATTACTAGCAACCGATATAACACCAGCCGCCCCAAATCCCCATCTAGAATCATGACATTGATCGTCATTCCCACTCCAAATCATAATCCCTTTATCGGCGTACCCTTTAATCCTCTCATTTCCCATGCATTCTTTAACACCTGCAAAGTTAGGGTTTGGCATAATTTCTTGTATTACCGAAGGAGGAATGTCCTGTCCAGTTCTTGAGGGCACATTGTATATGATTGTGGGACCCATAGAAAGAACACTTTGAAAATGCAAGAAAAGGCCTTGCATTGAGGTCTTGCCATAATAAGGGTTTATATGAAGGGCTGCATGCATACCAACAGCGAAACCCTGTTCAGTCGCGTGGATTGCTTCTCTTGTAGAGTTGCTTCCGACGTTCCCTATAACTTTGATTTTTGTGCCGAAACAGTTGACAGTGTGACCAATGAGCATAATGTGTTCATCCCAAGTCATTAGTTGGCCTTCACCGGTTGTGCCTCCTACTATCACCCCTTCAGCGCCATTAGCAATTTGCATATTCATTAGAGCATCATAAGCTTCAAGGTCAAATCTTCCATCGGGTAGGTATGGGGTCTTGATGGCTGTGATTAATCTGAGACATTTTATGTCATCCACTGATGTCCTGTGTTTGTAAGGATTTAACAAAAATTAATGGCAAGAAAAACAAATGAAGAAAGAAGAGATCTGCCATAAAATAACAAAGCATTGAAGGATGAGCTTGTTTGTAGTAATACAACAAAAAAACCTTTTTACCAAATTGTTGGGTCGGCTATGTAAACCTTGTTCTTTCATTCAGTTGTCAAGGGTTATCTCCTTTGTTAAGTTAAATAATAGAATTTCCTTCTTAATTGCCAACCAAGTTCTCTTAGACCTACATGTAATCCTCTTTACCCCCATTAAGTACAATCTTGTTGCTCTTTGTTGCACACGACACGACTAAACTCTCTCAATTGATTCTCTCCCATTTTACTCTCAATAGAACCGGACTCTAACCTCCTACGCATGCCCTCATTTGTTATCTCATCCCTTAGTGAATATCCACAAACCATAGTAAAAATCTTATTTATGCTACTCTCGTTTTTCTTATCTTTACTAATCGAAAGGAAAAAAGATTGTATCTTAATCTAAATATAGATTGGAAATTGCAATCATTAGTTAAATGTAGCATCTTTAAAAAAAATTCAAAGAATGATATTTTATTTCTTTTGGGTTAGTAAGTTACTTATCCTTCAGGTACACCTTTCAAGGAATATATTATTTTTCTTTCACAAGATTTTTTAGGTTAGCTACATAGACCTTGTTCTTAGGTTGGCTACATAAACCACGTTCTTTCATTCAGTGTTAATGATATCTCCTTTGTAAAATTAAACAATAAAATTTCTTTCTTAATTGCTTCCTATCAAGTTCTCCTAGACCTATCTCTAATCCTCCTAACCCCGTCAAGTATCACTATAATCCTATTGATGTTCTTCATAGCACATGACCAATCCATCTCAATTGATTCTCTTCTATGTTATTCTAAATAGAAGTCATCTCTAACCCCCTCTAATGCACTCTTTTGTTATTCCGCCCCTTAGTCCATAGCATCATAATCAAAATATAAATATCATTTGTTGAACATAGCATCTTTAAAGAAATTCACAGAACGACAATTTTTTCTTTTGATTTATTAAGTTATTTATATTCTAGGTATACCTTTCAAGGAATATAGTACCTTTTTCACAACTAATCTCCAAGATACCAAAAAATAGAGAACCCAAAGAAAAATACTAGATCAAGCAAACTTGAATATTAAAATAAATAGAAATGGACTTCTCAAGGAGTTCCATGTCTTCATATCGAAACTCCAATATAGGCACAGAATGTCAATTTTTTCTTTTGATTTATTAAGTTATTTATACTCTAGGTATACCTTTCAAGGAATATAGTACTTTTTTTCACAAATAATCTCCAAGATACCAATAAATAGAGAACCCAAAGAAAAATACTGGATCAAGCAAACTTGAATATTAAAATAAATAGAAATGAACTTCTAAAGGAGTTCCATATCTTCATATCGAAATTCCAATATAGGCTACAAATCTTGTGTTCAACTTGCCAAACTCGTCATCTACATAGATGTTCGGGGAAATGGGAAAGTTGTTGAATTTCAAGAGGGTTGTGCACAATGTGTAAACCAATATTCAAGCTTTTGTTTTTAAATTCTTGATGTGGGCTTCCCACTTGCAAATTTAAAGTTTAAACACACAAATTCATCAAATCTTATCGGTGCTCTCTCTATTGACCTAGATCACCTCCTAGCTAAGTTATTCGACACCTTGTCTGGGCCTTCATACTCATGTTCATCATGCCTCTGACTCCAACACTCCTTGGATACTTGTCTGGACAATCCTTGAAAATGAATACAATTATTTAGATATGTATTCAATTATATAATACACTTTTTTTGTTTAAAACACTGGTCATATTCTTCTTAGATGTATATCTTACACTTGAAATATACTTCCTGCAACTCGTTGGACAAAGATAGGTATTTTTCAACCCATTCCCAGTTTAGAAATATGATTTTAACAGATTGTTAGATATCTAGTTCAAAGACGAGCACCAACTTATAATCTACTTAATAAATTAAAAATAAAAATACTATAGGAATTTTAGTTTTCATAACATGTGAATGAAAATACATATTGATCTCATGCAAATTATTAGTTTCAATATGCATATATATAGTCATATCCATGTATCCTACATTTTACAAATTTACCGTGCCCCATACTCGAACCGCACCCACACCCATGTAACATAGCCGCCTAGCAACATTTTATTGGACACTATCCTAATTGTACTAAGCTGACACCGTCAACCATTAACAGGTAAGTGAATCTCTAATACCATGTAGCCTAGATAGCTAACAGGGGGGAATAACAGTTAAATGTAACAAGCACTGAGGTGAGGATGCTTCTAAACAATAGCTAGTGAATAAGGCTCTTCTAAGGTTTTTCTTCACACAGAAATAATTCTCTCATAAGAAAATAACAACTAGGCACTTATTCTCCTTTCATGGTCCGATCTCAAGAACACTTCAGCTCCCATTCATCAACCAACAGCAATTATGTTTGACATCATCTAGTTATGTTAATCATAACCAAAGTAATCAATAATAACAGTAATATTTTTTGGCCCGATAGTCCTCTGAAATTTATAATTGCAGTTGCAAGTGACTGAAGACAAGAAGATGAAGATATATTCGATCAAACACTCCACTTGCAGTCAGAGTGAATCCAAAAAATTGCAAAATTTTGTTCATGTGTCCCAAAATATTGTTTTATCATGCACCAAAAGAGAGACTGAAATAAACAACCCTTATGCTGCTCATGCTCGAAATTAATTTATTACATTGTCATTGTCTAACAGATTAACCACAAACTTCAGAGTGTATAAATCTTGCATATGATTGTTTTTGTTTTCAGAAACGTTACACTTACTCATCATAGGTTTTGGAAAACGAAAGACCAAATAAAACACTTGAACAGAACTAAAGAAAACTACTTATGTCAAGTTGCAGACTAAATTAACTAGCAGTGAATCTCAGCAACTAATGTCTGATAAACCAAATGAAACAGTGGACCTGTTAGCACTAAATTTAAAAATAAACAATCATTATTATTTTAAAAGAAAATTACAGGAACTCACCTGTTTTTAATTTCAAAACTGTGCATGGGAAGGTGAAAGTCTTGAGTAACAGCTGCGTTTGGAGATCTCCATCTGCCAATCCGAATTTGTTGTGCAAAAGAGAAGATGAAGAAACATAAGATGCATTCAAATAAGTATTCAAGAAATAGAAAAGAATAAAAAAAATGTTCACTTATTTTGTTAACTGAAAAGTTGGGTTGGCCATCTTTGAAAAAAGCTTCCAATGAGTTTTGCATCAACTCAACAAAGTCAGGGTCTATGTAGTCCTACATTGAATATGGGCTTGTTTGTTTGTACGGCACGTAGCCAAGAAGCAGCAGAAGTAAAAGAGGTAGATCCTACTTCTACTGCTTCCAGGAAAACAATATGCTTGTTTCTATAAAAAAAAACCTACTTCTGATACTTCCTTAAATGTTGATCGGTGCCTATGTGGCATCGCTATCTCCTAAATTCCTTTTGCCCCCTCAAGGCTCAGATGTAGCTGAGAAGTAAAACATGCATGAATCTCAGGAAACTAGTTTTGTACTAACCTCCCCTTCGTACTTTTTAAAATCCCAAACTTTACTCCTTTTACAACTGTGTCCAAACAAAAAAAAAAAAAATTGAATGAAGAGGAAGAAATACTATTTCGGTATTTCCACTACTTCTAAAGATATGTAAAACAAGCAATAAAAGTATTACTTCCATCGCTTCCTACTTCATAATAATAGAAGTTGCTTCTTTGATCTAATTCTTACTCCTAATACTTTTGTCAACCAAATGGACCCTAAATAGAGAGCAATTGTTGGTTTAAAAGTGATCTGAATTCCTCCCTCCAATACAAATAGTATCAGAGCCAACTACATCTTCCCAGTTGCAAGGGGCAGCTCAGTTGGCGACGCCAATACTGAACTGGGCATCGGAACAGCAAAAGCGTCGTGGTGTGGTAGGGTCTATTTAGGCTCACGATGACCGAATGATGAGTCAATTGTGGGTTCACCTGCATCTCTTAGGGCATCTCCAACAGCTTCTCTAAAATTTTCATCAAAATGGGAAAGCAAAAGTCATATTCTTCAAATTATTTTTACACCAACTCCAACGGCTTCCCCATTTTGAAGAATCTTTTTTTTCCTCCAAAAATTTGAAGAATGCTGCAGATTTAGGAAGCTTCCCCATTTTTTCTCCTTCATCCCTATTTTGGGGAATGAGATGGGGAATCTGTTGGACCAAAAACCTAACTATATTCTCCAAAAGTGAAAAATGGGGAAGCTGTTGGAGATGCTCTTACAGATTATCCCAGCCACAGCGATGAGGTAGGGGAAAGAAAAACAGCACCAAATACTAGTTAAACAATTAAGAAAATATAAAGTGAAGCAAATCCAAAAGAAAGAAAAAGAAATCAACACATAAAAATCATCTACTTTTCCCGATAGCAAAACCTGAAAAACCCCCCTGAATGCCCAAATTAGTAACAAATTCAATACAGTTCATACTGAAATATGCAACTCAGAAATGATTGAAGCCGACAAACAGCAACCTACAGAATGGGAGCAAATCGATAACTTATCCCTGACAGTAAAAAAAAAAAAAGAAAAAAACCGCGTCTAATATTCCCATCAAAATCTGTACTTTTTAAGAAAAACACAGGGATGCATTGATCGAACCTCGAACGCAGGCGGCACACTTCAGGGCGCTGCGGCTTCATACCCAACGAGGTCAGGGATGCATTAATTGAGCTCAGGCCACAGCTCAAAGCCATTTTTCCTTCTTGATTTTCAAGAGCACGAAAACAAGGGAATTAAATGGGGGTGCCAGTGGCAGGGATGGTGATATTGCGGGAAGGAGAAGGGCAAATGAGGGAGAGGAGGGGTGCGGGGAGGGACGGAGACAAGGGGGCCTCTTCCTTGGGGGTTCGGGGAGGAGTTGGGTACGATTTTGGGCGGGGGACGGGGTAGGATCGGTAAATACAGCCACCCTCTTTGGTTGTTTCTGTATTCCTCTTTCTTAGGGTTTCCTTTGAGGGGTTTAACGGGTCGGGTTCGGATGGAACGCAACCCTCCCTCACCCGGCCCAGTGGAAGCCTCCCCAAGAAAAAAAAAAGGCCAGCTACGAGGTGATCGTATTTTTGAGCCTTTCTTGTAGCTTTTCCTGCGTCGGCATTATCCCTAAGGGCATCTCCAACCTATCGCATCAAAATGATGTAAATTTTGCATCAAAATGATATAAAAGTCACATCTAACAGTAATTTATCTCCAACCCATTGTACCATTTTTTACACAAAAAAAGAAATTCTCAGTATATTCTTTTTTATCTACTTTTATATTATTATTTTTTATTCTCTATATTTTTAACTATTTCAACAATTAACCTCACATATCAAATTTTATTTTTTCACATATTTTCAAACAAAATAATTTATTATTTAAAAAATTAAACTAATAAAACAATAAAATATTATTTTATTAATTAAAATAACTTGATTGCTAAAATATTATATTTTTATTATTGATATTACCAAAATATTACATTTAAGAACACAATAGAAAATAAAATACAAGAAAATAATTAAACATTAACAACAATGTAAAAATTACAAATTTAATATGCACTTAACTATCTGAAATAGTGTATTCCTCTCATAAATGATCTATCAATGCATTACGAAGCGCAATATGGACATTTTTATCCTTGATTTGTCTGTAACGTGCAATAAATTAAGTAAATGTTGTAGTTTCATCTGCTACAATATCAACTTCTAGTGTTGGTGCTTCTCTCACTTCTTGAATTGGTGCATAAAGGTCACGTTCATCCTCGATTATCATATTGTGCATAATAATGCATGCAGCCATTATGTCATGTAATACATGTTTTTTCCAAAAACGTGATGATCCTGCCACAATTGCAAATCGTGATTGGAGAACTCCGAACGCACGTTCTACATCTTTTCTACATGCTTCCTGTTTGATGGCAAAATATTATTTCTTCCTACCTTGTGGCTGTTGGATTGTTTGTACAATAGTAGCCTATTTTGGATATATACCATCAGCTAAATAATAACCCATATGATACTCTTTTCCTTGAATAACATAGTGAGCGGGACGAGCAATACCTTGAGCTAGATTAGAAAAAAGATTAGATGACTCCAGCACATTGATATCATTATTGGTACCTAGCATACCAAAATATGCGTGCCATATCCAAAGATCATAATCTGCCACAGCTTCAAGGATAATAGTTGGTGACCCACTACGTCCTACGTATTGCCCAGACCATGCCATTGGACAATTTTTTTCATTTCCAATGCATGCAATCAAGACTTCCTAACATTCCTGGAAAACCACGTTTTTTACCAATATATAGTAGCCTAACAATATCGTTAGTGTTAGGTGTTCGTAGATACCGCTCTGCGAATATTTTCACCATAGCACGATAAAATTTTGTCATACTTTCAATTGTTGTTGACTCACCTATTTTAACGTATTCGTCCGTAACATCAGCTGGTAGACCGTATGCCAACATATGAAAAATAGCTGTTACTTTCTGTAACGATGATAATCCCATTCTATCAAGTCCAGCACTTCGTTGTTGGAAGTAATAGTCATGATCTTTCACTGCATCAACAATACGAAGGAACAAACTTCTTGACATCCGATATCGACGACGAAACATATCTTCTCCAAAACGTGGATTATCGGCAAAGTAATCTATGACCAAATTCTGTTGCGCGGTTTCTCGATCGCGGTTGATCACTGCATGACCGGGAATCGAGCCACCATGGATCGGTTGGTAGTTTTGTTGACGTAAATTGTTAGCGAGGATCATGCTGTTGTTGATGTACTCACAAATTACTTCTTCGGTTTCATCAATCTCTGCAATGATATTGGATAGAAAATTATCATCATCCGAAGATGAAGATGATGATAAATATGATGGATCTCCAGCATCGAAATTCATTTTTGAAGTAAGAAAAGAATGACTGAAGTATGCAGAAATGGAGAATAATAGAAGTAAGAAAAGAATGACTGAAGTATGCAGAAATGGAGAATAATAATTTTAACACAACAACGAGTAATTGTGTGGATGTACCTAATCTAGTATGCTATTTATAAAACTTTGCTTAGCTGTATACATTGAACAATGTGTAAAGTTGAACTGATTTAGAAAATGCTTTCCAACTGTTATCAATTTGTCGCAAAATTCAAATTTGCTTAGCTGTATACGTTGGACAATGTGTAAAGCTGAGTTTATTTTAAAAAATAATTCCCACTCGTATAAAGCTTTCATATAATTCAAGAAAAGGTGAGCTGTGTATACGTTGGACAATGTGTCAAGCTGACCTGATTTCAGAAAATAATTCCCACTCGTATAAAGCTTTCACGTAATTCAAAGAAAGCTGAGCTGTGTATACGTTGGATAATGTGTAAAGATGACCTAATTTCAAAAAAATGATTCCCACTCGTATAAATCTTTCACACAATTCAAGGAAAGCTGAGCTGTGTATACGTTGGACAATGTGTCAAGCTGACCTGATTTCAGAAAATGATTCCCACCCGTATAAAGCTTTCACGTAATTCAAGGAAAGCTGGGTTGTGTATACGTTGGACAATGTGTAAAGCTAGCCTGATTTCAAAAAATGATTCCCACTCGTATAAAGCTTTCACACAATTTAAGGAAAGCTAAGCTGTGTATACGTTAGACAATGTGTAAAGCTGACCTGATTTAAAAAATGATCCCCACTCGTATAAAGCTTTCACACAATTCAAGGAAAGCTGAGCTGTGTATACGTTGGATAATGTGTCAAGCTGACCTGATTTCAAAAAATAGTTCCCACCAACAATGTTGGACAATGTGTAAAGTTGATCAGTTTGTACACAACGATTCAATTTCAAATGTTAACCACCGACAAATTCAAATTCAAATTCAAATTTTTTTTTTGGATTAGCTATAAATAACATTCACGAATTCTACTTCAAACCACCCAATTCGAAGTATTTCTTCAAAGTATTTATAATTTCCAAACCAACCGCTTTTTACAAAAAAATGTTTGTTCGATCATCTGGATACACGGTTACTGAAGATGTGCTCCTTTGTCAAGTATTCTTGGATATTTCTCAAGATCCTATATCGGTAGAAACCAGTCTCGAGATGCATTTTGGTCTCGTGTGGAGGACAAATACAATGAACTTTGAGATCAGCATTTTCAGGTGCGTACGAGCCGATCAATTCGTTCTCGAATGGAAATCATAAGTAATGAAGTAAGGAAATTGAATGGTACGAGCCGATCAATTCGTTCTCGAATGGAAATCATAAGTAATGAAGTAAGGAAATTGAATGCGTGCTTAAGACAAGTAGAGAATCTGAATCCAAGTGGTGCTTCAGATGAAGATATTGTAAGTATTATATTAATTACCGTTTAAAATTTATTATTATTGTTAAAATACATAACTTGATGTTCACTATAATTTGCAGTTAGTTCGAGCAAAGATGTTATTTATGCAAGAACCAAAGTGCAAAAAAGGTTTCAAATTTGATCATGTCTGGAATATGGTTAAAATTTTTGAAAAATTTAAAGATGATGTCCCCACAGCAAGACAAGTTGGTCGAAGACAACCCAAAGTGTGAACTTTGACTCGTCACAATCAGATAATCCCACTCCAGAATCTCCTATATCAACATCTCCTGGACTGTCATCATTTACTCCATTTGAACGACCTATTGGGGTAAAAAAAGCCAAATTAGAAAGGAAAAATGATGATCATGAGTCAAGTATAGTGGACTCCATCGAGACCTCCAACAACCGACTTATAGAAAGGTTAGACAAGGCGAGCTTGGACAGGCAAGTAGCATTTGATATCGAACGAGAAAAGATAGTCATGAAAAAAGATAGAGATGAATGGAAAATTATAATGAAAGATTTGAATTCCATTGCTGATCCAAACGTGCGTGAGTACGTTCGAACTCAACAGATTAAAATAATACAAAAAAGAAATCAACAAGAATAAGGGTCTGCTTCTAATTTTGACAATTATTTCAATGATATTGGACACTCGGGCCTCGATCTACCAGATTATTGAGAGTTGCTTGTCCATCTTATGTAAGGTTCCATGTTTAGTTTGTATTTTATATTTTATTTTAATGAAGTTTTATATTATGTGTGTCAGTTTTTATATGTTATGTATTTCAGATATGTAATTTATATTTGAATTATGTATTAGGGTTGCTCTTTATATTTCATGGGACTTTACTTATAATATCTAGATTTTAATATTATAATTAATAATAATGTCTTTTAAATTTTAGCATTATTTTTATTTTTAAAAAATAATTTATTTTGTCCAAATTATACAATTGGGGTAAAATTATAAAATTTAAATATTATTGGGGTTGTTTTATACATTTAATAAAACAATTGGGGTCAAATTGTAAATACATAAAAGTATGAGGTAAAAATATAAAATTGAAAAATAAAAAAAATAAAAAAAATAGTAATGCGGTGATGAACAGTGCGACGCCAAATATGGCGTCGCACTGTTCATCACCGCTAAAATGCAGCCAAAAATGAGGCTGGGTTGGAGCTCACACGCAGCGGCAAAACCACTTTTTGCACCAAAATGCCGCTGCGTTGGAGATGGTCTAAGGAGATAGCTCCTATTTTGCTAAGTGGTATTTTAAATAAAGGCCTTTCTTCAGGGAAAAATAATCTCATAAATTTGTTGGATTAGTTTTGTAATTAAATAATATCCCAAAAATTTCCCCTTATATACATTAAGCTTCGCCGTATTGTGCTATTAGTTAATATTGGCTCTATTTTATCCAAATAATTTTTTTTTCAAAATGGAGCTATGTTCAAACCATGTCCTGTCCTGAGGAGTTCGGAAATAGGCCCTAAGCTTCAGTCTCATCATTCATTATGTTAAAAATTATCCATATACATTAAGTTTCACTCTATTGCACT